AGTTTGGGGGGTTTGAAAGTGGCGGTAAAGTGCGGTTGGCAGTAGAAAGGAGGAAGAAGGGGTTTGTTCTATTTCCTGTGTTGCAGCAGAAAGGAGGAAGTCGTTTTGGGCCATTTCCCGTGTTTTCCATTTTTTGCTGTGTTTGTGAAGGAAACGCGCCGTTTTCTGTTTTTTTCACAATTTTTTTTTCATTTTTGAAAATTCGTTTTCGAAAATAACAAAGAGAACACGTTTTCGCCGTTTTGAAAAATCGAAAACAGAAAACGACTTGAAAACGGCAAAGAGAACGACATCTTACTTTGTAGGAAATAAGAGTTATTGGAGAGCAAATAACTTGAACAACACCAAGTTTCAGATGCAAAAGAATTACTAAGATGCAAAGCCAATATATATTGTGTGATTACAAATAAGTAAAAAAAGAGGAAAATGAAAAGAATACAAATTGTCTAGAAGTAGAAAACAAGAAAAAAAAAAACAGTGGATCCAATTACAAGCGAGTAGAAACAATGCAGGAAAGAGCTCAATGATTAGCATTTTACTTAGAACCACTTAACCCGAACCAAATTGAACTGAATTAATTGGTTTTGATCCAAATCTAGTTAAACAGGTCCGTGTTTTATAATTGAGAAATGCCAATTTTGGTCCGCATCTTAGATCTAGCTAGAAAACTAAATATTCATTTGGTTTCAAAAGTGTATTTTCAATTTTATGATCTCTCAATTAAATTTTAATCTATTTAAATTTAGATGATTTAATATGCTTTTAGAATAATCAATAGTTTTATTGTTTAAAACACAGATGAAAGTGAAATAACAAAATTTGAATTACAAATATAAAATCGGTTACATTCCATTTCCAGTTTGGTTCCTTTTTATTCATCTTAGAACCAATGGTACTATTTTCACAATTTTCATTAAACTAGGTGCAAACAACGTATAATGCACGTTTGCTTAGTTTATATTTAATAGTTTTGTTTAAAAATTAATTTGTTATCAATAAAGATGAAATTTTTTTGGTTAATTAGGGGCGTGTCTGGGCGCGCTGTAAGGAGGAAGGAAAATTGATTATGTTACTG